ACCATGGTCAAGAATTGAAGTTACAGGAGCTGTATTTATTATATCATTATTGCTCTTTATTACTGCAGTAGTATTTATAATAAAAGAATTAGTCACGAATTTTACTATTGCCTAAATACATGTTTTAATTGCAATTATTCCTTTTTTCTATTATTTTGTGTTATACTTGAAAAAAGTTCTAAGTTTTAATTTCTTTTTTAACTGAAGTGGTTATTAAAAGTAATTAAAAAGTAAATTAAATATCGCAAACAAGTGATCCCCCATCATGTGCATTGCAAAATTCTTGATATAATTCTTTAAATTTTTCATCAGTACAATCAGTATCACTTAATGAATATTTCCATTCTCTTAAACATGATCGTTTACCAGTAGCTGTTGGGTTTTTATTTATGCATTCTAAATAATCATCTGAGTATTTTCTCAATGCCCAACTAGCACAAGAAGCATTGACTATAACAATACACAAAAGAAGTACAATCAATGTTTGAACCAATTTCATTTCTGGATCTGTTTTTATTCTTTACTAGTTCTCAAATTCTTTTTCCATCTTATTTGAATTTTACTTGTTATATATAACGAATCTTACTTGCATATCAAATAGAATTGTTATTATTTCAGTTTCTTCTTATTCTTTTCACCATCACTCTCTCTCCAATAACCATGAGACCTCTCTCTGTTCATGAAAAATATGTTATTTAAAAGTGGTTATCTGATATGAAATATCACCAATGGCATCAACTAAAATGAAAGAAACAGCAGAAACATTTATTTGAAAAGAAGTAAAGAATGCAGTTATTACATGTCCAGCATATTTTAATGATTCAAAAAGACAAGCTACTAAAGATGCAGGAACAATTGCAGGAATGAATGTAATGAGAATTATCAATGAACCAACATAACTATTGCATATGGACTTGATAAAAAGAAATCAAGAAAGAAGAAAATATTAATAAATGAACAAGGAAGAGGAACAAATAATGTAACTGTACTTACAAATGAAGAAAGAGTAAATAGAGCTAAAACAACTAATAGAGACGCACATCTTTGATGAGAATAATTTGACAATCGACATATCAACTATTTTATTGGAGAGTTTCCAAAAAAATATAATAAAGATAATAATAGAAATACATAACAGTTAGAAGACTAAGAACAACATGTGAAAGAGCAAAAAGAACATTAGCAAGTGCAAGTGTTAATAATAATGAAATTGTTCATTGTATGAATGAAATGAATTTTATACATCTATACACGAAGTAGATTTGAAGAAATTTAATATTAAATTATTTAAATCAATTATTAGATAGTTTCAAGAGTAATATAAGATGGTAAATTAGATAAAAGGAATATAGACAAATTAGCAATAATGAGATGTAGCGCAATGAATACAAAAGTAGATGAGATATTACAAGAAATCAATGGAAAGAACAAACAAAATAATTCAGCTGAAGCAGTTACACAATGAGCAACAGTGCAAATAACTATTAATAGGAACAAAAAAGAAGAGAAGACGTATTATTACATGGTGTTGCATAAATTAAAATTTGTAAACTATTTCTTTTTTTTGTGTACTCACGAGACATCCTAGCTCTTAGTTCTAAATTGTTATGTGAAAGGAGATAGTAAAGCAGAAATAAGTTTGAATAGCATATAATCAAAATACAATTAGAATAGTTGTTATATTTTTTTGAAGAAATACTATTGAATTTTTTTTATTATTTTATCACATACTCAAATAATAGTAACTTTTTCAGTGTGATAAAAAGAAAAAAATAAAAACTTCAAAAGAAAAAGCACAAAAAAAGGAGAACTACAAAATTAGTAAGTGAGAGAGATGGAAATAGAGAAACAAAGTGAGGAAAGTGCATTGGTCAAATATTATAAGCATAAGATAGATCAAATGACATACGAGTATTCGAGTGAGTTACAAAATCAACGAAGATTAATTTCTAAAAGAAATCAATTAAATGACCAAGTAAGAAGAATGAAAGAAGAACTTCAATTACTTTCGGAACCATCATGTTCAGTTGGAGAAGTTATCAAAGCAGTAGGAAAAGATAAGGTATTAGTTAAATCAGCACAAGAAGGCAAATATGTTGTCAAAGTAGAAGCAGGAATTGATATAAAGTCATTGAAACCAAATCAACGAGTGGCACTAAAAAGTGATACATACAGTATTTGTAAAGTTCTTCCTAATCAAGTTGATCCATTAGTATCATTAATGAGAGTAGAAAAAGTACCAGATTCAACATATGACATGATTGGAGGATTAGATCAACAAATTAAAGAGATTAAAGAAGTAATTGAGTTACCAATCAAACATCCAGAATTATTTGAATCACTTGGAATTGCACAACCAAAAGGTGTATTATTGTATGGACCACCAGGAACAGGAAAAACATTATTAGCAAGAGCAGTAGCACACCATACAGATTGTACATTTATTCGAGTTTCAGGAACTGAGTTAGTACAAAAATATATTGGAGAAGGAAGTAGAATGGTTCGAGAACTATTTGTAATGGCAAGAGAACATGCACCATCTATTATTTTCATGGATGAGATAGACTCTATTGGATCGAGTCGAATTGAAGGAAAGTCAGGAGGAGATAGTGAAGTACAACGAACTATGCTAGAATTAGTTAATCAATTAGATGGGTTTGAACCAACAAAAAATATAAAAGTATTAATGGCAACAAATAGAATAGATATTTTAGATCCAGCATTATTAAGACCAGGACGAATTGATAGAAAAATCGAATTCCCTAATCCAAAAGAAGAAGCACGTTTAGACATTCTTAAGATTCATTCTAAGAAGATGAATTTAGTTCGTGGAATCGATCTCAAGAAAATTGCAGAACGATTGGATGGAGCATCTGGTGCAGAAATTAAAGCATGTTGCACAGAAGCAGGTATGTTTGCACTTCGGGAAAGAAGGTCTCATGTAACACAAGAAGATTTTGAATTAGCAGCTGCTAAAGTAATGAAGAAAGATAACAATGCATCTGTCTCATTACAACAATTATGGAAATAATTTTTTTCTCACTTTCTCGTTTTATTTTTGTTCAATCTAAAAGAAAATCATCTCATATGGATAATTCCATTATTATTTGTTTAATCCCTCCATTTCCTTATTTATCATATGTTAACACCACACAAACAATCAACACTAGCCAATAATTTTAACCAAAAGAAAAATAACAAAAACTATCAGAATACTTAAACACAAAAAATATAGAATAAACGAAAAGAATAAACACTTTTAATTATAAACACTCTATAATATCCAATAAATACTAGAAAATAGGAAGTGAAGTTGTAGTTGTAGAATAGAGAAATAATATAAAGTTAATAAAAGAGAAAGAATGTAAATAAAAAAGAAAGTAATGAAAAGAAGAATAACAATAAAATCAAATATAAAAAAGAAATAGAACAATAAGTTTAATGAATGAAAATTCAAAATGTTATTTTTAATGATTGTGTAAGTAATTAAATAAACAAGAGTGAGAAATAATAAAAAGTATGAAAAGGTATAATACCACAACTATACTATTGAAAAATTATATGAGAAGGCAATCAACTAAATTACTGAAAAAGAAGAAAAAATATCCAATTAAACTTGATTTACTTTTAGTTGATTGATATTGTTTTGGTAGATAACAGATCAAAAAAAATAGTGAATAATTTTTATATGGTTATCTATTCATTAAAACCAACCCGATTATATTTTTCTATAACTGAAAGAAGTAAATAATATTTAAGAATAATACATAACCTTTATTTCGTACACATTTCCTTAGTTTTTAAATTATTTCTATTCACTATACTTCTATAGTTTATCTATTTTTGAATCAATATACATTAATTATTTTTTATTATTAATTATGTTTTTTAATTGAATAGTTAAACTCAATTAATCTTTCTCTTAATACCAACTTGTTTTTTTTTTCATTAAGCATAAAAGCTAGTCATAAGAAAAACACTTTTGCTTTTTGTGTTAATGAAAACTTTTCTTTTGGAATACTTCATATTCTTTTTATTCTAATTTTATGTTCTTAATATTAGCTAAAAAATTTAAAGTTAGTTATGCATCATTTGAACATTATATAAAATAGAAGTTATTAACTCGTTTAAGACTTTATGAATTTATCAACTATTGTGTATTGAATATATTGTTTTTTAAAGAAATGAAAGAAGAAATGAAGATTTAATTTAATGTTTTATCTAAAAAGATAACAGGTTTTCCATTTCCATAAGTAATAACTAATAATGGAAGACAATATGAATAACTCCAATCAGCTGGGTTATCAACGACATATCCAATATCTATGGTTTTGACTTTATCTGATTTAAGGACATAACATAGTATTAGATGGTAATTCCCTTTACAATAACCCATTGAAATGTCAGCTGTTTTTCCAAAATACTCTCCTCTTCCATAAAATTGTCCAGTCCTTCTCATTGGATCAAAACCATCTTTACAGATAGATTGGATGGATGCATCAGAAGTACCATGCCAACAAAAGAAACCAGAGTCATTAACTGAAATGAAATTAACATGCCTCATTCCAATTAAGAATTTTTCAATACATGGATAATGTTGTGTAATAAAAGAGTTAAATTGAATTGAATTATTAGTAGGGATATTATGAATTTTATTTTCCAAAATAAATTTTTGTCCTAAATGAGTAACTTGACCAAGAAATGGTTTACAGAGTTGTTGTTCAGTATAAAATTCTTGAATAGTATAATCCAATACAGTGGATTGATTTATTCCAAAATCAATTTTTCCAAAGAGATTAATTAACTCCCAAATAATATTAAATAATTTGATTTTAGTAAATGGATTATAACATTCAT